AACCAAAACCAGAGACTATCAAGAGCTTTCGTGGGCACAGCGCACCTCTTCCCGCTAAGCCAGACTGCTTCACGGGGTTCCTGGCAGATAGCTGGGAGCTGGCTTTAGCTTTCCATTAGATTTCTCCACCTCCCCCGCCACCCCATGCCTTGTCATTCAACTCTGTCTCGTGTGGGACAAACCCATAAGCAGTCATGATGATGTCACATTTTCAGCCTTACTGGGTTTGCATGAAGGGTGTAACGTAGCGTCTCATTGACTCATCGAATAGTCGATGCATTTTTGCCTCAGTGATTCGATTAGTCGATAGGGCGGGCCTGCCCCTTTGAAATGCCACGGCGGCATTTCAAAGCGGCAGAGCCCCGGGTCCCGGGCACCGTGTGGTGCTGCTGCTTTGCAGTACCCCCTCTTCTCCCCCCTTACTGCCTCTATCGGATAGAGGAAGCAATGTGCGGGGATGCAACTAGTCGACTCTCCTGTTGACTAGTCGTTAACATCCCTAGTTTGCACGGGTGGCAGAGCAGGCCAGTGAACCGCAGCTGGGGGCCTCCTCAGACTAACCCAGCCACCTCTTCCTGCCTGGGTTGGTAACAGAGCTGGTCTCAAGCGAGCAGGCAGGCTCAAGCCCCGGGCGCAGTCAGCACCGAGGACTTCCCTGTGCTCTGAGCGGCAGGTACCGGGGCTGCTCGGGAACCGTTTTCCTGTTCCTCCGCGGCAGGGCTTTGTACATGCAGCACGCTGAGAAAAGGGAACTGCTCCGCATGAAGCCCGCGGGCGGCGGGAGGAAATGGTGCAAACAGGGGCTGAGGCGGGGAGGCCTCTCCCACCATGCCCTGGCCCGGGGAAGCCCAGACGCCGGCCGGCTTGGTGCTCCGACAAATGCCGGGAACTGGCCAGAGCCGCTGACGGGAAGCACCTCACAGCTGGGCTCGCTTTTTGTGCAGCCCCTGCCCAGCGGGGCCCAGTCCCGGGCAGGGCCTCAAGGCACCGGGGCAAGAGCTAGCGCCAGCCCCCTCCTGGCAGCAGTGGCACGAGCATGCAACGTGTGCACAGGCCGGAGCGTGACGTGGGGGTCACAGCTGGGCTGGGTGGATTCCCGGGGGGGGAGGAGAAGGGGAAGCCGAAAGGGCAGTTTTGTTATTGCAATTGCTCCTGGTTTTCCCCTGCCTGTGCAGGAGGCTGAGGCGAGAGACAGGGATGAGCAGCGCCCCCCCCCCCCACGGGTGGGCCAGCCGGAGGGGTGCTCGGGGCTGTATAGAGCTTGGGCAGAGCGTCCCGGCCGCCTACTAGAGCCAGAGCAGCCCTGCTGACCCGCTGGCATAGAGGCCCTGGGCGTTTTAACCACGGGGGAGGAGGGGTTGTTTCTAGCCCTGCATGGCGCAGGCCTAGCGCACCCTGTGCGGGAAATGCTGACCGGAGCTGGGCGGCTGGGCCCAGGAGCTACCCCTGCCCCCCGCCGCCT